GCCTTTTGGATGGAGTGCTGCGGAACCTGCAGTGTCGCCAATCTCTATATGGCTTGAGAAAAGGACACAGGATTTGTGAAGCTCTGAAAGTAACCACTGGGTTCCTGGTCAGATGAACAACACTAAGAAGATATGAAGTCTGTAAGAGCCAATCTGAAAAATGTTTAGTTTACGTAGTTATTAAGAAAACATAGCCAACATAGATTTTTGTTTTGGAATAATAAGTTTGTTTTATACAATGTGCTCTAGACATGTTATGTTATGGCATATTGTTGTTTGTTAACCATGTGACCGGATGTGTTTTTTGTTTTTGGGAGGTTTGGACAGTCAGGCTCTGAGCACACAGTTTTTCTGACTGAGTTATAAGCAAGTAATTTGTCAAGTCCTTTGTAACTTTGGACAAGGAACCAGGAAACGTTTTATTTGTATGTTTATTTTTATTTAGTAAACCCTTTGTAAAAACCAAGAACTGGATTGTGGAAATAGTTTATGTCGTGTCATACTGACTACATAAGGCCTGCACCGTAAAACGGCACTAAAGGCTAAGGAGTACCGCTACAAAGTCTGTGGATAACATTTTTTAACTCAAGCCTAACCATACCTTCTAAACCTCTACCACAAAAGGAGCTGTAAAAAAATAAAATAAAGCTACCCTCATTTCAAGTACTTCTGACAGTACTACTATGCTGTAATACTATGAAAATGTATAATGTTAATAATAAATAGACTGGTCTTCTTCGTAGCATGAGTCCTGTTGAGCTAATTGCTTAAAACAGAAACATTAACACTGTACCACACAAACAGTCACACAGTAAAACACACAAACAGCAATAACACACACAAAATAAACACCCAAACATACACACTCAAAACAATAGTGTTGCACCATAACACACACACACACACACACACACACACACACACTGGTTGGACTGACTTTAAAATAAGCGCCCTGAAATATTCAGAAACAGCTTCAATATAAATCAGTTTAACAACTGAATGTCCAGTTCCGTTCAGAGCTCTGCTCCTTGTCAGCTAGTTTGTCCTGTCCTAGCAGGACACACCACACAGCACCAGACCATCACAGGCTGGAATGTGTTTGTGGTGTAAAGTTGTTGTCAGGACATTACAATGTCATTATTAAGGATACTGGATATTGAATATAAGAGCTCCAGATTATAACTTGGTGTGATGTGAGTGCTCTGTAGGATATCAGATTTTCAAAATAAAAGCACCAGATTGTTACTTAAGCTCACATAAGGCCCCATAACATGCCAGATTTCCAAAATAAAAGCCCCTATTGCAAAAAAAGATCACATGGTGCCCCATAAAGTACCAGATTTTCACAATAAAAGCCCAGAATAGTAACTGAAACTCACATAAAGTCCTGGAAATGTTTCAGCTTTTCAAAGTAAAAGCCCCAGGTCGATAAATCAAGTTCACATAAAGGCCCCATAATGTGCCAGCTTTTCAAAATAAAAGCCCATATTTTTTTAACTTCAAGCTCGCAGGAAGGCCCCAAAACATGCCCGATTTTCAAAATAAAAATGCAAATTTCAGAATTAAGCTCCCAACTTCAGTTTTTCTTTTCATCTTTTATAATTATTCAACATTTTTTCATCTTCCACATTTGTTCAGCATTTTCTTTTCATCAGCACTGCATCTCAGCCTTCAGCTGTTTCAGCAGTGGTTTTCAGCCATTTCAGCATTTTCAGGGTGATTCTTCAGCAATGAGCATCCACACATACATTTTCTTCAGAAATGCATTTGTATAGTTAGCTGTGTCTTCTTCTGCATGGTTTTGTTGTCTCTTCTTTACAACGGACAAACACTTTATCTTGCAACACTTCAACATGTTGTACATCATTTTCCATGGCACAAAAACATGTCCTAGAAAACAGAGACAATACTAGTGACATGAGTGAACAGAGAGTTTTACATCCATGACAATAAATGGTACAAATCCTGTGAGTAAGAAACAGTCCACTAGGTGGCACTAAAGGTGTGTGATGGTGTAAATATGAAAGGTGTTTCTGCCTGTACAATGTATCACTGTATATGTGGGGCAATCTACTGGTCGATGGCACAGTTTTTTCCAAATAGTACATGATACGAGACATCTACCACAAATATATACATAATGATATTACTCAAGCAGTAATAAACCTCTATTATTAATAATGATAAGCCTATTTAACTTGACTGCTCAGGCACCCTGCTGTTTTACATTGAATGGGAAAGTGTGTCCAAACAGATAAATATTTATATATATATATCTGTGTGTTGTGTATTATGACTACTTGGTGCTTCACTAAAATGATGATAGTGTACAATTTGAATGCAGAACATGGAGTAGTTTTATACAGAGCAAAAGGTTCAAAATAATTACAGTAGCTGTACCTCTCCTGTGTCTCCCCTGCTTTGACACTGATCTTGCCCACAGTCAGCAGTGGTTTTCTCTTCCAGCCACCCCAAGGAATGATGGTCTGCACCCGATTCCACATGTTCTTCCACAGGTTTGATCCCTCCCAGCGCAATTTCAGCAACATCAGATCTCCTAGGTCTCTGTCCAGGGTGATCAGGAAGGTGTAGGTCCTATTGACTGCAATCATTTCAGTGCTGGAGGAAAGTGTTTAAAAAAGACAGGAAAAAGACAGTTAGGTTATTATAGCAGGGTGCATCGTGCAACAGGTTGCCACAGTGCTTTATTACAAATCTAAGACCCTCTGTTGTAGCTTGTGGTATACAATTAAAGCAGGGCAGCATGTGAAGATCACTTCTGTTTGCACTGATTTGCCTGAGGCTCTGTGATACACAGAACAAGGAAGATAGAGTTTCAGGGAATAGTGTCATGAGTCAATGACTTACACTCCATCATCCCCATTTAGGCTTCTCTTTCATGCAGGGGCATGACTTGTTTCCATGTGTGCCACCTGAGTTGAGAGCCCAGCTGAATACCGCATGAGTCAAAGAGCGAGTATGCTGAGCACTGATGGGATGTAATGTAAGGCTGGTGGGAGGTGATACAGCACTCACAAGGTGATGTGGATTTCTCGACTCTCCTCCTTGGTTCCAGCAAGGGAGATAGTGAGAGAGGGCTCAATTGTCTCTGTCTGGTTGATAAACTGGATTCTGAGCTGGTAATGATAGACTGCAGGAAGTGAACCAGAAACAGAAGAATAGGAAAGGATGAAAACCAACACAGTTTCTGTATGTGTGTGTGTGTGTGTATATATATATATATATATATCTTTGGATTTTAGTCTGATGTATTATATGAGAAAAACCAGAAGCAATGGGAAAATGTGAAGTTTTGATAAATGGTAATACTGAGAACATTGTCACTTTGGATTCATAGAACTACTAACACTTACACTTTAAATACAGGTGCTATACACTTTATAGGGCTGCAGCTTCTTAGAAACCTAGTTTCAGCCCAGTCATATCACAGTTTCCCAGTGGTTAAAGTACTGATATTTTTCTTCTCATCTTAACCTATAAAATACCTCACACTTTATTTATTCATCATATTTTGTCTTATTAATCTGAATGTGCAATGTAACTGAACTTGACAAATAAATATAGTGGAATAAAAGTACAACATTTGCCTCAGAATTATAGTGCAGTACAAGTATAAAGTAGCAGACAATGAAGTTACTAATAATGAGAATTATTGAATCTCATAGAAATGTGCAGTACTCTTGTCTATTAACTGAGTACTGAATAGATATAAACATATAAGGCTGTTTGACTGAAACAAGGACAGCGACATACGTTTATAAGGCATCCGAGAGCGTGTTCTCAGGTAGAGCCTCTTGCTGGTGCCAACGCAAACCTTCTTGATATTGTAGCCCAGTGTGTTGCAGCGATTCTTCCGGCAGTCCAGACAGACACCTTTATCAAAAGCGCTGTTGTCACTGCATCTGTACGCCACGCTCTGCTTATCTTTATTCAGCAGAGAGTCGATGAATAGATTAACGGATCGCTCATGAGAACACTTCACCGTCTGCTCGAAACCTTTGGGAGGAAATAAAAATATGTTGGACATTTGGAATGTAAGGCAGATTTTTTTAATGTTTTAAACAACCTTGATCTGAGGTTCAACCGATTATTTCCACACATTGTTTTCTCCTGTGGGTTGAGAGGCTGTGAAGGACTATGGTGTCTGATCACTGTTTTTGGATTTAGTTCATTATCACCACAGCCCAACAATGATCAAACCATCCTTCTGTCACTTGTCCTACACATATCTCATTATGTCTGATACTAGTCTGCTCTAGACTTCTGTAGCCTAAAGGCAGCTCAACTCAAAGGGATGGACAGAACAGAGGGAGACACATTTCTAATTAAATCCTGAAGATGACAGATGCTTTAATGTGGCTCTTGCCATCATATTATGTGGATGTGTTTTAAATTTGAGAAGCACAATAAGTCTCACAACCACTTGTGTTAGACTGGAAGGAAATTAAACTGAGAAACTGTCAAGAGCAAGATGAATCGGTGGCTAAGATACAGCTGCTCAACCAGTTTTTTGAGGTAGGAAGACCAATTAAGAAAAAAAAAAAAGTTATGACAGAGGAGAGGAAGAGGCAAACCAGTAAGCAGTTAAGTAGCAGAACACACTGCTATTGATTGATCTGTCTTCAGCTGGGATTTAAGATTTATTTGTATTAGAAAGGACGTAAAAATGTTAAAAGTATTTGGTTTTAGTCTCATCACAATGGTTCTGTTGCTGTTAAGATCTTCGAACCATACTGTAAGGGCAAATTTTACACTTGCTTCATCACTACTGCAATAAAAAGACAAGGATGCTCTCTGTGTGGTAATAAACTAACAATGCATTATTTGAGCTGGATCTCAAGCTGAAACATGGTGCCCAGTCACTTGAGTAAAACTGGCTTGCCTGGCACATTTTCCAAAACATCTCTCTCTGCACACAACATTAGTGTTTCCCCTTCTGCTCCTGCACATACAGGTGCATCTCAATAAATTAGAATATGGTGGAAAAGTCCATTTATTTCAGTAATTCAACTCAAATAGTGAAACTCGCGCATTATATAAATTCAGTACACACAGACTGAAGTAGTTTAAGCCGTTGGGTCTTTTAATTGTGATGATTTTGGCCCACATTTAACAAAAACCCACCAATTCACTATCTCAATAAATTAGAATACCTCATAAGACCTATAAAAAAAACATTTTTAGTGAATTGCTGGCCTTCGGGAAAGTATGTTCATTTACTGTATATGTACTCAATACTTGGTAGGGGCTCCTTTTGCTTTAATTACTGCCTCAATTCGGCGTGACATGGAGGTGATCAGTCTGTGGCACTGCTGAGGTGGTATGGAAGCCCAGGTTTCTTTGACAGTGGCCTTCAGCTCATCTGCATTATTTGGTCTCTCATTTCTCATTTTCCTCTTGACAATACCCCATAGATTCTCTATGGGGTTCAGGTCTGGTGAGTTTTCTGGCCAGTCAAGCACACCAACACCATGGTCATTTAACCAACTTTTGGTGCTTTTGGCAGTGTGGGCAGGTGCCAAATCCTGCTGGAAAATGAAATCAGCATCTCCAAAAAGCTGGTCAGCAGAAGGAAGCATGAAGTGCTCGAAAATGTCTTGGTAAACGGGTACAGTGACTGTGGTTTGCAAAAAACACAGTGGAGATGACAAACCATCACAGACTGTGGAAACTTAACACTGGACTTCAAACAACTTGGGCTCTGAGCTGCTCCACCTTTCCTCCAGGCTCTTGGTTTCCAAATGAAATACAAAACTTGCTCTCATCTGAAAAGAAGACTTTGGACCTCTGGGCAACAGTCCAGTTCTTCTTCTCCTTAGCCCAGCTAAGACACCTCTGATGTTGTCTGTGGTTCAGGAGTGGCTTGACAAGAGGAATAGGAATGAAATGGAATACGACAACTGTAGCCAAATTCCTTGACACGGCGGTGTGTGGTGGCCCTTGATGCCTTGACCCCAGCCTCAGTCCATT